GTGCCTCTAGTAGCTGATTGGCCTGTGAAGTGGTTGCTCAAGCCCTTCTTCCTGCCGAAAACAATGCGATTGGCTCCCAAGGAACTGAACTGCTTGTAGCGGTGAATGATTTAGCCAGAAGCCTTTGGACCTCCGGCATTATTTCCCTAAACCTAAGTTTGTTGGCACATCTTCACCCACAGGGGAGGGGAGGGGTGATAGCTTGTTCCCTCTTTAGGTCTCCCTGTTGCATTTCTCTCCCTCTGCCGGAAGACACTCTGTAGGTGTGACTTTTCAGGGATTCCACGCAAGGCCTTGCCACTGGATTTACATCTGCGTTCCGTTTTTTTTTGAGTGTCTCTAGACCTTTTTTCTACAACAAGAGTTGAAATGTTAGAAATAACCGCAGGATCCAGGGTTCCGGTCTTTCAAAACGACACAGGAGAGGCCTTGAGGCCTGTAGGACGGGCCTCACTTTAAGCCGGTAAACAGACAAACGGAAATATGGCCTCAGTTCACACCAGAAGAGAGATGAACGGCGTACGGGCCCAGGGACGGTCTCGGTTTGGACCAGGAAACAGACGAGTGGAATTAGGGCTCAGAAAGGGCATCTCAGTTTGGCCTAGAAGGGCGATACGTGGCATCGGTGCCTAGAACAGCACCCCCCCGCCCCGCACCGTACAGAACAGAGAACAGATGAGTGGGATTAGGGCCTAGAATAGGCCTCAGTCAGTACTAGATGAAAGATAAATGGCATTTGGGCCTAGAACAAGCGAGTTTGGATTACGTGATCCATTAACGGCATAGGCCAAGCGATGGCCTAATGGCGTTAACGCTGGACTGTTGACCCAGATCATGTCCCTGGGGCCCGGGTTCGAATCCCGCCACGGCATACGGTGGAGTTTGAATTCAATTTAAGGGAAAAAACAGGAATTGAGAGTCGAATGAATCCATCGTCAGGAAAAACCCATCACTAATGCCGTTTGGGGAAGGAAACTGCCATCCTTACCTGGTCTGGGCCTACATGTGACTCCAGACCCACAGCAACGTGGTTGACTTTTAACTGCAATTAGGGACGGGGCAATAAATACAGGCCCAGCGATGTCCTCATCCCGTGAATGAATAAAGGGGGAAAAAGAAAGAAGAAGTTGGAGCCTAGAATGGGCCTCAGTTTGGGCCAGAAAGTAGGTGAGTGGAACTGGGGCCTACAGGAGAGATGAACAAAATGGGGCCCCTCGGTTTAGATTAGGAGGAAGGTTAATGACACGGCGAAGGATCAGGGAAGGAGATGAGGACAAGTGGGGCCTGTAGAACAGGCCTAGGTGCCTCCCAGAGAGAGGGACTCCCAAACCCAATCCCCAACTAGGCCCCAGACGTCTGAGGGCACAGGATAACGGGAAACTTTCTGGATTCTCGTCACAGATCGAGGCCAGTGATGGAAGTTCGAGTCGGCGTGACGTTCGGACCGAGTAAAATCCTGCTCAAACATGTGGACTGTCCGGAAAACAAGGAAGGGCCGAGAGTAAACGTCAAAATATGTTTCAGTAGCAGGCAGATAACAACACAAGTAAAAGGTACACCTATCCCCCCGATCTGTTACCGTGTACACGCACCGCCCCCCTATCTGTTACTGTGTACACCTATCCCCCCGATCTGTTACTGTGTACACCTATCCCCCCGATCTGTGACTGTGTACACGCACCGTCCCCCTATCTGTTACTGTGTACACCTATCCCCCCGATCTGTGACTGTGTACACGCACCGTCCCCCCTATCTGTTACTGTGTACACCTATCCCCCCGATCTGTGACTGCGTACACGCACTGCCCCCCCATCTGTTACTGTGTACACGCACCGCTCCCCCTATCTGTTACCGTGTACACGCACCGCCCCCCCCATCTGTTACTGTGTACACCTATCCCCCCGATCTGTTACTGTGTACACGCACCGCCCCCCTATCTGTGACTGTGTACACCTATCCCCCCGATCTGTTACTGTGTACACGCACCGC